GAAAGCCCAGTAAATGGTGTATGCAATTAGCAGAGTTCAGCCATTATATTTATTCACACTGATGTTTCTCATAGACTGTGAAGAAGTCACACTTTGAATAATTAATCCATCAAACCTATGCATGGTGTCCCAAAGTATGCAAACTGAAAATATTGGCTACATGGTGAATTTACATCTATGGACAAAGGGTGGAAAACACTCCAGTCTAGATTTTATGCTGAGCCTACGCATTGAACAGCAGCCAGCACGGGTTTGTGGCTCTAAATCAATCAGATCAGAAGGGATAAAATGAAGAGGAAATGCCCAAAGCTGCAGGAAGGGTTCACTGTCCCCAAACATCCCATTGCAATCTGCAACACTGATGGAACATCAGGGATTTCCTGACAACTTTCTTCCCTAATCCAGAGCTTCAGTGAGTGAGAGGGTAACTCTGTCAGGTCTTTGCAAAGATACCCCACCACCCACCAGAATTCCACAGAAACAGCACCCTCCCAAAGAAAGAGGGGTTATTTCCATTGCTCCATGGGTTTGAACAGCCTGTGTAACATTTCACTGGTTGCAAGTCTCTAAAAGAGAAACTTGGGTTTGGCTTTGATGCACACCTTTCAAGGAGTGATCTGAAAAAGCTCAAACTGCAAATGAATTCGTTACAGACTCAGCAGATTAATGGTCCAGCCATTTTTAAAGCAAAAGGTCACGGAAAGCTTTTAAAGACCTTTTCAATTACATTGTAAATAACCCAAATAAACTGTTGACCCCATAAAAATCATTGGTTTTCATACTCATTTATTTAACTGCATTCTTTTTTTCCACTAAATATGTTTTTCATATTCTAAAGCACTTTTCAGCATATTTTTTCCTCAAAAACTTCAAAGAAACAGCGTACGAATTTAAAGAGTATTTAGTGTATACATTTAGGATAAGATCTTTTTCAATGCTCTTTTGCTCACTGGAAATTTTAAGTATGGGCATTGTGCCCAATGTAACAACACATAAAACAGATGTGTTTTTCCATTCACATTGGGCAGGAAGTTTCATATTAAGCATTTCAATAATTGCACAAGAAATGTCTTATATATGCTGAAATATCCTTATGGCTTGATTTATACTGGAAAAATTAGCTGTCCCCTAGAGCAATAAATACCTGAAAAATTAAATGCCATAAGAATTTTAAACCTCCATGGGGAGTAAGGGATCACAGATASTCTGTGTTTTACTTGGATCCCTTGATTTCACTGTTTCCCCCTTCTCACTTGGACTATTTCACACAGAAAGGTCTGTGATACACTCACCAGAGGTTTAGTTAAGCATGACTGTGGATAAGAGCTCAAGCAATCRAAAGAAGTGAAAAAATAGGCTGGGTAGGCCCAGATTTAATGCACAGGCTCCATCCTGGGATGCATTATTTTGTGTGTGTGTCTCTGTGGTGTTACACTCTGGAATTTGGGAGGGATGGAGAAAATCCTGAATGGAGCAGMAGCTGATTCAGCAATGAGTGCCTGAATCTTCAGAGAGTTCATACCATCAGAAACAACACTCTGACATCAGCTTGTGTCACCTCCTCAGGGAATGACAGTCCAATATTGTGGCAGGAAAATGGAGCAATTGGAGCAGTTCAAATCCACACGTGACTCCATTCACAAGTGGGCTCTCTTTATTTCAGGGAATGTTGGAGTTTTTCTGTGTATGTATTGATGAAAGGAAGCATTTCAACATTTGAGAAAGTGCCTTTAAAATACATTTAAATTTCTCGAGCACTTCAAAATGTACYTTGCCTTTTGCTGTAGCTTTAACTTACCCTTCCTTTAGCCATACCACAGCCCTGTAAAATCTGGACCTAACACAGATTTTAAGGTGATACAAAAAAGGTAGAACAGGTACCTTCTGGTCTTGGCTTTGGTTTTTCCAATCCACCATCCTGCATCAGCTCAAATGCAAAGGATACATTGACAACCTGGCAATACAATGAAAGCAATCACTGCTGTGAACTTTGTGTGGTACAAATGGTCCAAGATGAATTTACAGCTGCAGACCCAGATATTCAGAAGGAAGAAAAGGAGTCAGGGCTCTGTATATCTGATCCATGGAATCCACACAATCCATTGTTTTGCAGCTTATGGGTGATGGTGGTTTCAGAAAYAGAAGGTAATCAGAAGTTAACATGTGCACTAACATAACCCATAATAAAATTACTTACACGTAGGAAGGAGAGCCAAACTCCCCTAAGTTCCAAAATAGGAACATGATGGCCCCTGAAGGGYTCTTGTCTTGGACAGACAGATGAATTGCCTGGATAGCTACAGACACTGACATAATGCTGGTCTTAAATTGACACATTGTACATTTATGCCTTTATGCTTCCAAAACCCAATCAACCTTTCCAATGCTAAATTCTTGGMTTTTGGACACAAAAAAATCAGTTCTATCATCAATGCTTGTGTGTAATCCTATATACATTATTGAACAGTAGGTCTTGTTCAATCACAGCATCACACAGTGGCTGCCAAAATCTGTAACTACTTGCTAACCACCTCATCATTAATATAATTTTGTTTTATTCAAGCTAAGTGTTAGTACTTATTTTTTTAAATGCTTGGAAATAGTTATCAGTACAGTTCTTTCTTAATTTCAGTTATTAACGTCAAACTTCCGTGGAAAAGTTTGTGTTATCCTTGTACTAGACATATTTATGTGTTTGTTTTTAGAAGAAAGAAAGAAATCTAATTACCTTCTGTTCAAAGCTATCAGGGGTCAAGAAAAAGCTGTGCAGGGGAACAAAATAGCCTTCCAGGAGACCCATTAGCAGGACCAAGTACACGCCATCTGCAAACTGTGAAAAAAGACATTTCTCAGTACATTTTCTGAAAAACATCTCACTGCTTTTCTTATTGAACAAAATATATATTGTCTAATGCAGAATTGTCAACAAACTGCCAAAAAATAGTTTAAATTGCAACTAAAAGATGTCATCCCATTTCTTTGTTTTTGTTAGTTCTGTTATGTCTGATTTTAAGTGTCTGTAATTACAGTGGAAGATATCTAATTGCTTTGAGATATGTTCATTTCCATCTAAAAACAAAGCAACATCCATAGGAAGGACATGGATGTGCTGGAGTGAGCCCAGAGGAGGCCATGGAGATGCTCAGAGGGTGGGAGCAGCTCTGTTCTGGAGATGGAGTTGGGGCTGCTCACATTGGAGAATAGAAGGAAAACCCTGCAGCATCTTCCAGGAGCTAAAGGGGCTGCAAGAGGGCTGCAGGGGGACTTTTCCAAGGGGGAATGGCCTTAAGCTGAGTGAGGCTTAGACAGGTATTAGGAACACATTCATGACAGTGACAGCAGAGGGGCACTGGACAGGYTGTGGATGCTCCATCTCTGGAATTGAGCGAGGTTGGATGGGACWTGGAGCAGCCTGACCYTGTGGAAGGTGTCCCTGCAGGATGATCTGTAAGGTCCCTTCCAAGCCATTCTGTGTTTCTATGGTTTTGTTACAGGCTTCTCATTCTTACTCCTGTGCCATCAGGTCTGTTAGCAGCCCATCACCTTCCTGAGGCAGGTAATTTCCTTCCAACTGGTAAAAAATCTCTCATTTTAGGGCACACTGTTTCAGATAAATGCTTAAAGAGTTTCCAGGTACATTTGAATAATATGTTTTCCCCCAAAGTAAACAATGCAGTAAGTAAAATAGAGAATGCCCTTTTGAAGGCCTTTACACATGATTTCTGTCCAAATCTTAATTTCACCTTTGAAAAATCTCTATCAGTTTGGTAGGTATTTAAATGGRGCAGAGATTCTTAATGACATGAATCAAGACGTAAAATAAAGCCAGACCTGAAGACACCTGGAGTTTTTTGATGGTGCAGATCCCATCCCTTCCTGCCTGACCCCATAATTTTCTTATGATAACTGCTGCAATTGTTCACATGGGGAGCATTAATACAGCAGGATTAAGCTTTCCTTTTAGCTTCTTTTCAGCCAATTTAGCAGCTGAGAACAAGACAGAAGAGCATGCAGCACATTATTTCTGTGGTGCAATCAAGCCTGCTGTACAGCTGCCTCTACACTTGAGGAGCTTTACTCTGCAGAATCCTGAGTTCTCTGTGAATAGAGCCTTTGTAATCCCCTGTGGCTGCGTGCTTGTGGAAAGGTAGGCAGGAAACAACTGCTCAGCCTGAGCTGGAGCAAACCAAGCAGACGGAATTCTTTCCTGACCAGAACAAGCAGGTTCTCCTTGCAGCACTTGGCAGCACGCAGAAGGGAGTATTTGTTAATTAATTTTTATGCTAATGGAAGTATAAAACTGTTTTAGATGCCTAATTGGTGAGGGTCTTCATACAAACATATTTAAAAATGGAGGGTTTCCTGCAGAAATAACACCTTAGAGYTCAATCTGTAATAATTTAATGAAATTTCTGGATGAAGCTGGGGGCACAGTGCGTAACATGGTTCAACTGCCTCTCCCTTTTAAGAAAGGCTATGAAATTTTACCTGCGTGTCCAGTTCAGTCACCTCCAAATTCAATTTATTCAGATGCTTGTTCACAAAGGTGATGAGAGTCTGCAAAATGAAACAGTGTAATGAAACTCCATTCAGCAGGGCAGCAGTTCAGCAGCATGAACTCCACTCACAAGAGAATCTGCATGAGTGAAGAGACTGCAACACAATCTCTTCACTTTAAAAATGAAATCTGACATTAAAATTGTTTCAAAATTATTTTTTACAAGAATGAAGAACAGAAATGATATGGATGTGATATACATACATACATATATATATATATAAATACACTGTTAAAACACAGAAACTCCCCAAACCTTCAGCAGCTATAGGGAAATAGGTAATTGGACTCCACTCAAATCTGACAGCAGCCAAAATAGTCCAGGGTCAGACCTGTGGCAGCTGTACACTGGATATCTCCTTGGCATCAGTACAATCAATGTACCAGTTGGGTTCCACTCAACATACACTTTGGGAGAGCTTTTCTGATGGAAACTCTGATAACTACGTGTTACTCCACGCTCCAAATTTAAGTTCATACTGCTAAACATTAAATAAAAAAATCACATTACAATCATGACTTTGTGTATTTAAGCATAAAGCTTAAGTGTATTWAATGCATGCAAAGCATGCCAGTTATATATTATATCCACACAAACTCACCACAGACACACAATCTGATACACCAAACATGCACATGCACGCATTATGTATTTTAAAAATAAAAACCATCCAACCTTTTTCACTACGTTGAGCTTGTCTGGAGCATGGTCAAACAGAGTGTCGAATGCATCTCTTTCTGAAAAACATTCAGTGACATGAATATAGTGAGCAGCAGTGGTTCCAGTGCAGAATAAACACTTACACATATTCATTTGAGACAACAGTCAGCAAAATGTCTCAATATCGTCTCTGTATTCCAAGCAGTTTGCATACTTCTCTCTTGCAGTATGCTGCTAGTAACTTATTCTCCATTATTTACAAAAAGCACCATTTTCAGGTAGGATTTGGATTACCTAAAGACACCGTTCCTCAAAAATGAGCAAAGAATAGTATCTTTATGCAGAAAATCCTAAACAGCCAGATACAGACAGCTACGAAACCAAAGAATTTTCTGCAGAAGAACATGAGTTTACATYAGTCACTACATCTACAGAGGAAGATTTTCCCCAGGGGCCTCCATTATTGAGGATCTCAAGCAGGTTTATGATTACACATCTGTATATATGTTCTGGGCCATTCCCATATGCAATTTAGGGCACTGTCAAAGGACAGGCAACCTAAGGTAGCGTGACTGGAGTGCTACTGTCATGACCTTATGAAGAAAACAGAAAAAAAACCAATAAAAAGGCACCAGAGCCTTTTCTGAGCAATTTCTGCTTTCACAATCACCTGAATGACAGCAAACRCTTCCACAAACAGTTACATTCATCYTTCTCAATTAAAAATACCCAAAAATTAAAGCAGATCCGAAGGCATTTGTAGAAGTCCCAGTCCTGGCAGTGAGACACACGAGGTACAGGAACTTGCTGAATAATGACTCAAATCTTCAAAGTATAGGGTAGGTAATGGGTATCAACAAATGAATAATGAATATTAACAAATTCACCAGCTGGGTCATGATCAGACACCACATAATGGTGGGAACTTGTGATTATTAATAACACTGCAGTAATGTCCTGGAGGTTAAACCACGAAGCACCTGCAAATTAACAAGTGCTGAAAAGCAATGAAATGTGTTCTAAAGATGCTCAGGGTGATTTTAATGCCTTTTCTCCCCTTTGTTAACTGCCACTAAAGGCTGTGGTGYGTATTTGCCAGGGCAACTTGAACTCCTCTACTTTCTTGCAATTTGATCAACGTGCCCACCCACTGCCCCAAGGAAGGAGACAACAATCTCAAATGAACTTACCATGCCTTCCTGATAAAGCCCTACAGAGGAAAAACAGGAAAAGAATAAAACAGTTATAAATAATTCACTCGCAGATACTGTGCTCCAAAAGCAAACAGAATRCATGGTAAGACCTTCAGCTTGGTTACTRCTGGTGGAGATCCATGGAATTCAGAAAAATGTCCCCAGGTTACTCCAGCTGAGATCTGGGTTAGTCTGGAGCCCATCTGTATAATATCTCTTGGCTTCACTGAAGTCCCACAGGAGGCCACATCTTGTATTTCCAACTTACAAACAAATCAACACACCTTGCCTGACTGAAGAAGGCTTTTCCACATTGCTTTTGTGAAAAAATTTCCCTCTGCTTTGAAGATGCATTTACCACACCAACTTCAACACAAACCCAGCCTAAACAAGGCTTGGSCTGGGTTCTTCAGGACTGCAGCATTTGGCTCCATGTAACTATCACACATAAATCCACACAGATTAATAAGAAGTCAACAGTGCAACTTGTCTCCATTCAATTAGATACCAGGATATTCTATTATTGTTCTCTTTTGGTTTGGAGTAACTTTTGTGCTGTAAAATGTCCAGTGAGATGGCACATACAGGATTTACCACCACAATTTCACATCCCTAAAGCCCTGCTTTTAGTCCCCACCTCTCTATTTCCTCCCTCCCCCTTTTGTATTTTTAATGCTTGTTTGCAGCTCTTGAAAAGGCTAAAATACAGTCACTGGCTGATGCATCATCTTCCCTGGAACCCCAAAATACAGCAATCTAAATATCAGCAAATGTTTGAATTTCTGAGACACATCTGTGTTCAATTACTGAACTGCTGGCAAAAGTGGTGTTGACATACTCAGTGTTACCAGTTATTTCCTCTTGGATTTGTCGAGACTGAAGGATTCCTTCTCGTTTCTGGAAAAAGTAAAAAAGTGACATTTTTCTCAGTCAAGTTTAAGGCTTAGGATGTAGTAAAAAATTGTAATCCACAAACTTTATTAGATAAGAAACCTGCAGAGTAAGAAGTTTTCCTACACAGATTTTCAGCAATATGTTATTTTACCTTGCAAGTATTTCAGAGAACTCTTTTGTCCATTAACAAGAAACTTGAAACTCCACCTGCAGAAGGAAGTGTTTCTTTTCCTTTCTCCATTGTTCTTAATTCACTTTTTTTTTAAAGGCCTCAATTCAGCARGACATTTGAAACACCCAAACACATATAGAAGTATTTTAGTAGAGGTATGTCTAGGTGAGCTGACTTAAACCCTGTATTTCAATGAACAGTTTGGCAGATGGTGCCCATGCTTCTCTTTTGAAAATCTTTTCAGGCTATTTGTTCTTTCTGCCCTGTTCTTACTCTTTTTTTTTCTCAATGTTTCCTTTCTTTCCAGACAAAGAGCTCTATTGTCTTCTGATGGGAAACCAAAATGGAGCTTCCATTGCCATTCCCATCCTGCTCCAGCACTGACATGTCACCTAACATGAATCTGAATGTAATGAACAGTGACAATTCATCATTCTGTGCCAAAAATGATTCGAATCTCTACAAATAAGAGAAGCGTCAAAAAATGGAAAAAATAATAATTCTAGAGATCATACTGGTAATAAACACATTCCAACAATAATGATGCTTCAAATATTTTTAGTGTCACAGTCTGACCACTTCACAATCAAAATAAGATACTGTGAGCCCCAGTTCMATCTGGGAAAGCTCTTCTGCCTTTTTCTGTTGCAGCAGTGGCAGCAGGGAAGGTGCTCGTGCTTCTCTTGCTGTCCAGAGASACACGATGCCCACCCAGACAGAAACTGCAGCTGCACATTTCAGGAAACCTCTGAGTCACCTTCCCAGCACTCCCAAGAGCTGCTSAAAGCCCCTCTTACCTGCACAACAACCACCTGAATGGACACGTGGTCAGGGAGTCGGATTGGTGCTCGGAAATACTGAGATAATGCAACCAGGAGATGAAGAATTGCCACCAGACTTTTGGCATGAACAGCTGAAATAGATATTAAAAGCACAAGTTACACACTGCAAAGTAAGCAGGGCACTTATTTTTACTTCTCCTGAGGATGTAGGGATTATGGGACTCTTTTCCTCTTGCCACCTGGAGCTAAGGGGCACCTTTAAGGCACCTCATCTTTMGAGCTCTCCTGCAAGATGTGTCAGTGCCAAAACATTTCACTTTTTGCAACACGGTCTGGATGCCACGGGCTGGTGGAGATGGAAATCTAAAGCTAATCCAAAAGCCAGATTTTATGTTCAACAGTTTAAGTGCTGTCTCTGCATTCTCCTTGCCTCTCTTTTATTCCCTTTATTTCAATAAGGATTTATGGACTATCAGAAAGATATTTTTGTACTCATAACATGCACTTATTCATTTTTAAGTGTCACAATGTCTGCAGGATGATTAACGAGCCTGTTTTGGCACAAGCCATAAGCAATAACTTACTAAACTCAATGACTCAAACATTCCTCATGAAGTTGTTCTAGTCCTGTTACTGAAGCTTTTTTGCAGCAGGTTTCATAYAGGGGTAGTTAACACTAACACAACYTACAAAATATCAAAAGCCAAACCGTAGGAAATCCTTGATCAAGTATCAAACCATTGGCTTTTGGAAAGTTGGTAATTTTCAGTGCTTATTATTGCCTTTCTCCTTCTTCTATTTTGTTTTTGCTTTCCTCAGAGTAGCACTCCTGAAAGATCTTTGACAGCTACAGTGCAAACCCATTTAGCAACACMAAATTGAAGCTGGTGCAGCACCACACTGTGACAGACCAAAAAGGCACCAAACTGAAACGGAAGGCTGAGCACAGCAAAGAGGGGAGAGTGTCCCACATCTGGAAACTCCCTTCAGAGCAGTTCCTACCATAAATACCAGCTTTCAGCCCTTCCTTATCATTGGATATTTCGGAATTCCAGACAGCATCTCTGAACTGTCAGCTGTCACCAAAAGAGACCAGCACAGCAAGCACACAACTTACAGTCAACGTTCCACTTGATGCTTCTTGGAGGCAGTTTAAGCGTTTCATTTATCTTTTCAAGCACTGTCTGCAGCTTCTGTTTCTGAGCAATCTCAGACTGAGTAACTTCTGCAACRTTCAGCTTCTCACTCTCAAGCTTTTCTGAAGAGAGAGAAGAAAAAATGGCAGAAAACCAATTGTCAGCTGCATGAAGAACACAAAGACATTCCCTACACCTAGAGGTACATTCAGCAGACATCATCTTGCTAGCTTTAGAATTATCTGGGTTTTCTTCCAGACACACTTTCACCCCACACTTTGAGCTCCTAAAGAGTTGCCAAGACAAGGGCTCTCCCTGTCCAGGAGTGCAGGTGCGTTTTGTGCTGTTCCCATAAARAGCAGAGCAGCACAGAATGCACTGCAGCTCTGAGGAGTGTGCACACAGCCCAGGGGGCTCATAATACAATGCTATTTTTATATCACTTAGTGGCATAAATGAAAGGTGATACCAAGGCTGCTGAGCAGGAACAGAGATCTGCTTCCTGACAAAGTACCTCAACAGCGTGCACGTGTATTTTTTTCTTACCAAATAATTTCTGCAATACTTGTCCATCGTACAGGTCTTCAGCCAAGTCTTTCACAATAATCCTCTCTCCTACCAACACATCATTAATCCAGTCAATTAATACCTATATGGGAAACACAAATTTGGCAGCATTACACACTATTCATTTGCAATTTAAAACACATGTCATTTTTCGTAGCAGAAAGAATACCAAAGCTGCAGTGGCTCAAATACAGTGTAGGTGTGTCAATACCTTCAGGAGCAAACAGAAAGACTCAGGAAGAACACTTCTAAGGTGGCTGTGCCAGTGCACCACAAGGTCTAGACAAACATTAATTGATGCAGTGCCTTCTGGAGAGRAATCTTTCCTTTGCTTTCACTAGCATTTTGATATCTTATTGTGAAGCAAAGGGTGCTGAAATAGATTTTAATGAAGTGTCCTGCTAAAGTTCTAACCCCAAGAATCACAAAGACGAGGTGAAGTCAGTGTGATCTTAGATTAGACTGGGGGATGGGACAGGACTGAGAATCTGGATTTAGGATTTCAATCAAAATTCTGAAGTCTCCCTGTGCCACATCTAGAGAAACACACCACAATAAATCATCTCCCCATTTCACCACAACCACGTGGTTTCAACTAATCTCTAACTAGTGCTTTGAAGTGTTCAAGTGAAAGAGGCAGGGATGGCATTAAAAAATAATTTCACTTTCCTCAGAGGGTTTGTGTGCTTTCATTACCTTCATTAGTTCTTGTAATTTTGGATCATTTCTTGAATTTGGATCAACCATTGTTCGCACTTCATTTTCCTCTGGAAGGTTTAAAAGAAAAACATTAGAAACTATACCAGGCACACCACTTTATTTTACCCCAAGCTTTTATGTTGAGATGTAAAATTGTTGTGAATTACCTAGCATAGTGTCCTCAGGGTCCAGTTCGAATGGAATGGGACTGAGAGGTAAGTTAATGGCATTCATCCCTTCTTCCTGTAATTCAGACACTRGGAAATAAAAATGAAAAGTTTGGTCAAATTTCAATTTAATTTCACTTACTATTTCACTCTCACCAAAAGCAGCATTAATGGTCTTAATTTCTTCCCAAGAACATGACTCTATTAGATAAGCCATCTGATGATGTAATCAAGTGCAACTCCACTGCTGTGGGCTGTCAATGGAGTTCCTCCTACCATGGCAGCACCAATGTGGCCCCAGAGYGGGGAGGCTGTACCCACAGCAGCTGTTTGCAGCTGGATGGAACTGTCACTCTTTAGATGCTCCAGGATGACAAGGTTATAACCRTGGGCTATCAAATGCAGGCTGTGCTCCTGCCAGACCCTGCCCTGAGTGCATTTAATGCCACTGCACAGCTCAGAGCAGAGCGCTGCCCATCCGCTTTCAATCGCCTTAATTCCCCCAGTACATGCAGGCTGCTGCTCCACACTGCATTTATTACACAGTTTCATTTGGTTTTTTAACTTGTTTATTTTGTGTGCTGRAGGCTTTTTGCTGCCCTATTTAGTATTCAGGGCTTAGAGTTACTCTGATTTGAATGAAACTCATCTCATTATTGARCTGAGCTCAGCAATGCCACATCACCCATGCACTCTCCGTGGTTTAGATGTATTTCAGCACATCCATCTGAAGAATCATGGAACAAAYACAGCGTTCCCTCTCACATATGCCAGTTCTATAAACTGGTATCATGCCAGTGGGGTAATTCTTGATTTGTACTGGTAAATGTGAAAACTGACCACAACTGCTTAAGATGGCTAGAGAATGAGAGGAAAAAAAAGAGCAAAAACCTTTTCAAAAAGTCATAGTTCAGGCTTTGATAGAATGGTACCATTTAGTCAAGCAAACTTATGTAATTGCTTTCTGGGCCACCTAGCCAAAACATTAATTTCTAATACCTGTGCGTGTGCATCTTGTAAATCCACGAAGGGAAAAGAAAATACTAATCTAAAATAGTACTGCCTAATTTTCTGGAATACATAATTCATTAAACATGGATTCTGGCAGCTCAGCTTTAATGCTGAAACAAAAGAAATCCAGACAAAAGACAATAAATCTGCATTACACATGGTACTAAAATGAGCCAATGGATTTATAGATGTTTACAAGTTTGCAGAGTGTGGCACAGCGTCCACCAGAAATTTGATATTCACAGCACAAAACATCATAAACATATGTCTGCAACTACAAAAGGGCCTTTTTATGTGGAGATCATTGTTAAAATTGTCTTCAGAACATAAACCTTARGTTGTAAATGCTACTCCCCATTTATTCTACAAGACATAACAAATGAGGAAGAAAAGCAGAGATATGTTTGTAATTGAAAATGTTTCTCAGGAAATGCTCTGTACAGGAACATCATTCTCATTCCATTAACTGCTGACTTTGAGCCAACCATTTGTAAAAGTAAATAAATATGCAAACTGGCTGACAACAATGTGCCTGCCTTTAATGTTTCTGCATTAGTACTCAGTCTCCAAAAAAGAAACTATTTTCTTTTCTCMTTTCTCCATTAAACCAAACATGGCATGCACACAAAAGGAACGGGACTAATGCTGTTCCCCACAAAAGATGGGGGAAATGGTATGATTTGATTTTCATGTATGCAACATAAATGAAATGCCATTTGCCTTGAACTTTCTTTAAAGCCCAAAGCCCCTCTGAAGTACCTCAGTSACTAGTTTGCTGTTCCTTTCTTTTTTGCAATTAGGAGGGGAAAAAATCCGTACAGAGACTGACAGATGTCTGGTCTGGGTAGGTAAAAARCAACAACAAATCAGGAAGCAAACYCAGTCCTTTYAAAGAGTACATGTGATTCTCTTTTGCCATGTCACAAGTAGCTTCATTAAGCCYGCCATGCTTTCACATTTCATTAGGGATGAAGGTTCTTGCTCAGAATTTCCCTGCAGTTTCTAAGAGGTAATAAGCAGTGGAGTGCCAAGCTAACACAGATGCCAGTCATTCCACTCATTCCTTCTACACATCCTCTCAACAAACATCTTTTAAAATACATAAGAGTATCTGCAGATGYTTTGAAAAGCCTGGTACCCTACAGGAGGGCTTAAAGTCCTACTGAAAAATCCCAAAGGCAACTTTGGGAACAAATACAGACAGGAGTTTAAGTGACGCTGATTCTTCCTGCGACTGAAGAACAAACCACGCACATGAGAAAGGCTGTGACCGTTCCAATTCCTTACCAAAATGTGCTGTGTGGAATCTGTTCCCAACACAAACTCCAAACAGCTCTAATACTTGGGTATGGTCTTTGTGCAACAGAGAGACTGTTAGCTGGTGGTATCCCTACATGTAAAATATGTTATCAAAACAAATCCTTTGACAGYAAAATACTTTATGGAAACAAATCCTCTGAGAGCTAAGATTTTCAACTTACTGAGGTATGTGCAGAGAGATCTCTGAACTGATTTATTGAGGGATTTCAGAATCACACAGAGACAGAAGGGAAAGCATTTGTATCGTCCTCACTGACATTGGGATATTTCTCAAGTTACAACAAATCTGCAGGTAGCAATACCCAGAAGAGAGGCACACAGACCTCTTTTTGCAAGGGGAGGCAATTGTTCCTCTTACATGTTCACCAGTTGCTGCAASAGCTTTTTCCAAACACTGTGGAGCAGAGGAGCAGATTTTATAGGGCTGACTCGCCTCATTTTGTGAATCACCAACCAACTGAGGGCATCTATTCCAACAACAACAGAGGCGCTCATCAGAGAAGACAAAACCAAGGATCTGATCCAAGAAGTCTTTCCCAGCTCAACAAGTTCCAGCTATTCCTAAGAGAAAACCCAAAAATAGTTCTCAGGAATGTGAGGGCACACTAGTAGCAAGCTGAGGATTTCCTGAATTTCTTGCTCTTTTCTTCATGTGTATATAAGCCTTGTTTTTGAAGGAGAAAAAAATGTCAGACCCACTGCATCTCAGTAATCTGGATGACTGCTTTTTCCTGAAAGAAATAGAAAAAATGGCTACTTCTACAGGAGACTAAAAATTCCTTCTCAGATACTGCAAATTGGTTGATGTATCACACATGGTCACCATTTTCAAACTGCAGTTCCTAGAAGTATTTGTGTTTTGAGATAAGCATCTCACCATCTTCCAGGAAAGACTCTGTGACAAAGGATCAAAAGATTTGTAACAAGTGGCCAAGCATTTCTACATCCCAGAAGGAAAAAMCAAGAAAACAAAACCACCTCAGTATCTTACGAGAGCTTCTCAYGCTTCAAGACCTTTCTTTGGTAACAAAGTCAGCCAGGACAAAGTTTGGGGGTGACGTCAAGGGTGGACAAGTAGCAAACACAAGAAAGATGGGATAAGACTCACCCAAATAATTTAAAATAATAATGAATACAAATACGTAGATACATTACTTATTTACATAACTGGTAGTTTGCAGTCCATTCTCTGCTGAAGTGTCAGTCCTGAACCATGGTTCTCAGATGCAGCAGGAGAATTAAYTTGCAACATCTAATTCTCTTCTTCCCCTTGACTTTGAAGATTTTCAGYTTCTTGCAATGTTTGACATTTGTAATAAAGAGGATTTCTTAAAGTCTCTGCAATGTGTACTAGGGAACTGAAGTTTGTAGTCAAGGACAGAACCAGGATGKAATCTGGGAATTGGGATCTAAAGACAGGCCTTCAACATGGCAAAAACAGGACACAGGTTTGGCTGGATCAACAGAAACCCAGCTATATTCGCAAAGAAAATGGTGAAAGGCAGGAAATGGAACCTTAAAATGGAAGAAATGTACCTTTGAGCACCCTGAAGACTGAACTGCCCTTCAGGATTCTCTTGGCCAACATGAAGTCAAAATGCACGTGGTAGCAGAAAAGCTCAGGTTTGGCTGCTGCAGAACAGGACACTCACATCCCACCCTTCTCTCATGAGTGGGATTATCAAMATACACACCTGACACGTGGAAAACCTTCTGCTTTTCCCAGACACAAAGCATTGAGGGCCAGTTGAGGGATGAAAGGGAACATATCAGGGCTGTCCGTGGAAATCTCTGGCTAGAGAAAGGACTTTGGCCAGCTGGGATAAATCACAGCACGGTGTGATCAATAGTGTGCCTGTGCTATCCTCCTCAAACACATTTACACTGAAGTATAAAATGATGATGCAACAYAGGACTTTGTTTGCACAAACTAAAAACTGTGTTTGGCTTAGGAAATGAGAATTTGTTCTCAATTTGCACAGGAAATAAATCAACACTTTCCAGCCCTTAATCAGAATTAATTCATTTAAAAGAAGAAAATAGCAGTATTCCCATTCTGCAGCATAGAAAAATAAACATTCTAGATGAAGGAATACATCTACAGGTTTCCTTTCTGGAGACAAACTGCACTTGTAAAATGGATGCCTACCTGTTC